AGCTATAAATTTCATTATTTCCATGCAAACTGATATTCTTGAGAGACCGTGAATATCAATAATAACTTTCAAAAGCTATTAAATTTAAAAATCATAAAACTAATTTTAATTTTATTTGACTATCTAGTGACATTTAGCTTGATATAAATTATAGATTTAATGTAAATAAAAATAATTTTATTGAATTTATTACTTTTAAATATACAAAAAATTATATACGTGTGTCTTAATTAATTTTTTTTTGGCATTAAACACAATAAAATTAGTTATTTGTGTAATTAAAAAAAATAATTCTTAAAAATTTAATAAAAAATAAAATATCATTCAAATATGTCCAAGACAAATGTGATATATACTTTTTATGAACATAAAGACGTGTATCAAATGAATATTTTTTAAATTAAATTAATAATTTTTGAAATCAAACAAATGCTATTTAAATAAATTGTGTATTAACAAATAAGTTTTAATTTATATACATATTTTTATATATTTTTATTTTGCCAAAACTTATTTTTATCATTGATACGATGATGTGCTCTGCTCTTCACCTCGTCTCCATCGTCCCCATCGTCCTCATCATCGCCAAATTCCTCTTCGACTCGAGCAGAGTGTGACGTTAATTGTCACAAGAAATGCGAGCGTTTGACGGCCAATTTATGCGGCGTTAATCAGAAACTAATCGTCGAAGCTTTGGCTTACGTGAAGAGAGGTAAAAATAATATATGATTTCAAAAAGTTGATAAACAGATACACGCAACGAATTCGATTAAAAAAGAACATCTATAACGTATATAACTGAAGATCTGATTTACAAGTACAAACGTTCTTTTTCGCGTGAATTCAAACGGCGCAATTGGGAACTTGAACATCACACCATCACAACACCACAACATCATATCACATGCATTTTCCAATTCGATTTCCTATTTTTTAGGGGTTTTGTTTATTATTTTTATCTTTTCCATTTTATTTCAATTCAATTTTTAAATTTTTCAATTTTTTAATTTTTTAATTTTCAACAAAACTTACAGAATGTTTTCATATATGTACTAATGTAGAGATATACAGATGTACCCGAGGGAATTCAATTTGTTTATCTAAAACAAACAAAATAATATTTAAATTAGATAAATAAGAAATTTTCTCTAGATCTGCAAATTGCTTTTATAAGTAATTTTCTTTTACATCTTAAAAATAAGTAAATAGTTTTGAGGCAGAGTATAGTATATTTATATACAAACATACAAATATAGCAAAGCAAATTACTAATAAAATAAATCTCAACGTTTAATAGTTTTGTAAATAGTTAATATTAATAAAATTAGGATTTTGAATAAAATTAGATTTTGAAAATCAACATTAAAGGTCATTTAATATTTAAATTTTTATATATTTTTTATAAAAAAGTGATCTTAATGAAAAATGTGCCAAAAAATTTTTTAAAATATTAGATCAAAATATTTTTCAAAGGAAACCTTGTCTTATTACTTTCAATTTCTTAGAATTTTATTTATAAAAATGTAGACAAAAATAATCAGACTATTGACAGGAAAATAACTGATTGCTTGACTGATGGCACCACCACGTGATCAATATTTTTTACCCAAAAATAAATTTTATTTATCTTTTAAATTGATATATTCATTCCACAAGTACAAGCATTCATGCATTTAGCAAATGTTATAAATAAACAAGTTCAACAATATACTATATATTATAGATATATTTTTCCAATGGAAATGTTTTTGAAAATGTCTGTGATATTGACAATAAATTTTTTATTTACAAATTGAAATTTATTTATGCGCACTAATTCTTATAACAATAAAAATATGTACAGGTGCTCGAGAAGCTAGAGATTCTCCTAGTACACCACCAAGTTCGAATCCTGCATACAAAATCGAAGCAAATGATGACCACGATGGTATGATATTTTATATTAAAACCTATTTAATTGACTAATATATGTGAACCTATTACTTGCAAAATTATATATATATATATATATTTGAGTTAAGTTATTATTATAAAACATATATCTTTTCACATTTGTAGGTCTAATAAGCTTTTCATATAACAAACCAATTTAACAGCTATTAATTTTTTATAATTTTTATAAATTAATTTCCATTTTATTTTAAATCAGTTTCAAAATGATTTTACATCAGATCTAGATGGACTACATCGAGCCAAATCAGAAAGTGCACACTTAACTTTAATTTAATGTGTTTTAATATTTTCGTTTAATACAAACCCATTTGAATATAACAATATAACTTTTTATATATAACTATTTATATATAACTATTTGAATGTAACTAATAATAAATAAATTTAATTTTTTCAAAACAAGTTTTAATCCAGGTCCTGCTTTCTTTAGGTATTAGACAAAAATTGCAATTGCATAAACTTGAGATCTAACAATAACGAATCATATCATCTATATAGAAATGTTTTTATTCTTCCGGTAATATGAACTACAAATCAAGGATACATAAAACTTATATTGTGTCTATAGCCAACTTTACATATTCTCTGTTGTTTTAAATAGGAACTTGCTTCCACATATTATTAATATCCTTACAAAGCACTAATAAAAAATTCCAAAGTCAAACTGATTATGATAGAAAACTGATTATGATTATAAGTAAATGCTTTTTTTTAATTTAAACTTTTAAATTATAAAATGCTTACAGTAAGAATCAATCGAAAATTTCAAATTTGATCAATGCATTTTCAATGTGGGCTTAGATCTGTGACATCATGCAAGTCTGTGTTTCAATTTTGAAAAGGTCCATATTTGACACTAATACTATGTTCAGACACACATTAACTTAGCAAAAATCTTAATTTCATCTTCATTTCATCGAAATTAAGTTGTTTTTTCGATACGAAATTCAGTTTTAAGGTTAGAACGAATTTAAGGAAAATGGCCTTAATTTCGTTGAAACGAAGACTGAAATTATGGGGCATTTCAAATTCAACTATGTGTAAGATAAATTTTAGGCAAAAGATAAAGTTGAGATAACGAAAGAGTGAAATTTTTTTTTAATAAAATCGGAAAATATAAATATTTTGAAAGTAGTGCAAATTTTTAAATTTGAATATAGAGAAAAAACTGCGTCTGTTATTCGTTTAAAATAGAGTGAAAAATAATAATTCACATAAAGCTAATAAAACTACTGAGTACCATCCTTTATAGTTATAGTTATTTATAGTTATAGTTATTTATATTTATAGTTTATAGTTATTTTAATATTTTCCAGATACAAATGGTGTTTACAGCATGTAATTTTTAACAATCGCTTACTAAACAAGAAACATATGATTTCCGTAATTTAGGGCAGTATGAACACGTTCGAATTTAATTTAATTTCATTTACACGAAATTTGGCTGTCTGAACATAGTATAATACTACAAAAATTCACTTGAATATCATTTGTGCACAATTCACTGTTAAACGATATTTAGATACATACAAAACAGCTACATGGACAGTTGGAATAAAAATCATTGCTAATAGGTATATGTAGTTAAAAGCTAGATGAACTGGCCTTAAAAGGTTTCACTTAAAATGATTTTTTTCAGTCCCTCGCATTTCAATTTAAAGGTACAATACTATTAGGTAAATAATACTTAAGGATTTATTATACTTTAAGTTATCACGACCAATATTCAATAGGTTTTTTTAATTATTATTTTTAATTTTTATGTGTTAAACTTATTATTACTGGGATAATAATTAACTTATTATTTTAATATTAAGCCTTTTGAATAATTTAAGCGAACGAGTTTTTAAGCCTAGTTTCGCTTATATTTTAATGTACTTAAAGAAAAGTAATTTTGGCATTAAATTTTTAACAGACTTTTTTTATAGTTTTTTAGATTTAAACAATTTAATATAACAACCAACCAAAAAAAAGTATTACACTTTCCTTAAAATATTTATTTATTTTAGAGCATATTTTTCTAAAATAGTCATAAGTTCAACTGAAACAATATTTTAATTCACACCAATATTAATTGTGTAAAAATATAATAAAATCTTAATGTTTCAAATTAAAGTTTTATGTACATATTATATACTATATATAATATATTATTTATAGTTATTGCGTTTATTTAAATATTTATTTATATAATACGATACTTTCAGGTGTTTATTAGAAAGAAATGGTCACTTTGAATGCAAAAATTTAATTGTTATTATATCAAAAGTACACAGTTTTTATTTGTATTTTTTTTTTTGGTATTTTATAGAAACATCATATACATATTCACAGTTTCAAAAGTCTGGCCGATTCACTGCACCCGCAACAGTTATACCAAGATTCAAGAATTATACTGTGGAAGATTTTCATTTTCTGGCTGTTCTTGGTAAAGGTAGCTTTGGCAAGGTGAGTTAGAAACACTACCCACCACTAAACCAATAAGTAAAATTTTAATTCCAAATCCTTAATTAAAACAATTAAGTAATTGAAAATAATTGAAAGTAATTGAAGTAATTGAAAATATCAAAGCTATGTACAGACGTTTCCGAAGATTAATGCTTAGCCAAAGAACCAAAAGAAAATCGGTTGGAACTACGTTTTCGGTATTTATTGAGAGTGTGAAAAAAAATTAAAAAAGAGCTTCAATAAAAAAAGCCCTTAATCTATCCTCAGCTCATAAACAATATTTAAATATATTTTTAAGACATCTATAACTTCTTTAAAAAAAACACACACAAATTTATTTATTAATACTTACGCATCCTAACAAATTTGAGCGTTTTTGTCGAACAAAATCAAAAGGCAGGTCACTTCAGAGTTCGATTACAAGAAAACGATTCATATTTATAAAATATTTTTTTCCAAAATTGACTTTCTTTGCTCCTCGTATATCGATTAATATTCAATAAGAACGATATTTTCATTTCTTGGATCAAGGAATTACTTCTCAAAGTAAATGCATTTTAAAATGAAATAGCTGTATTATTAAAAATTTAACAATTTCCAATATAAATAAAATTATCAATTAAGTTTTTTTTATAAATAAAATATCTAAGGAACACCGTTTTTTGATCTGTTTCTGCCCAGCACATGCTGAACTGCAAGCCCTCCCCCGGAATCGCATTATAAGCTTTTCCAAAGGTACTTATTGATTCTAACCCTTGAGTTTTTAACTATACGGTAACACAAGAGGCTTATAAGCCTAAGTGGATCCTTTGGGACCACCGGTATAATCTACCTACCTAATTTGCTTTTTTCATTAAGTATAAATTTTGCATTAATGCCATTACAATAGTAAGTCTTCTGTGCCTACTAAAAGTTAAACGGTAGATCATTATTGTATTCTGCAAAAAAATAAAAGCAATATGCTCTCCACAACGTCTCTAAGTTTAACCAAATGAAGAATATTTTTACAACAACATTTTTTTTATTGGTAAAGTGTAACCACAAGTACGTCTAAGAAACTGAAATCTGGAACTCTAAATTTCCCCTACTTTTCATTTGAAAGCATATCTCACGAAATACCTGTGTGCCCGATGCTAGCTGAAATCGATGCTGGCCTATCTAAGTACACTATTAAGTTCAAGTACAGTCCATTTATGTTTAAACTTAATACTTGAATAAAACGATGGTTTCCTTAAATCATGGCATTTGGTACCATTGACTACTATTGATAGTAACACTTGCATTTTCATCATATTTCAAGAAATATGGTTGGTTAAAACCACCACATCAAATACTGCATTCAATACTGCATCAAAACTTGACCTTATCAATGGTGATAAGGTCAATTTTTGTTAAAATATTTTCCATTTGTAAAAGAATGACCCATACGCAAATGGTGTATAATATATATAGGAAGTTTGTTTTGAATCAGTAATTATTTTTTGAATCAGTAATTATTTTTTGAATCAGTAATGAGGAACTAATTTACCAAAATGAGTACTCAGTTGAAAATTTATACACAGTGCGATCAATATAATCGACTAATTATGTTGACTATTCGTAAAACGACTTAAAAACTTCACAACATGTTTATTCTTTGGGATGCCAAGCCATCATCAAGAGTACACAAAATTGAAAACATAAGATCAGTCAATATTTTAATAATACAAGATTTACTATATTTACTAATATAGTATAAGTTTTTCCCCTTTGTTCTTCTCGCATTCCGGAAATATAGGCTTTAATAATTAATTAACCTTATCTTTAGAAATAAACACAGAAGTGAAGTGTACTAGATTTACAAACGAAGTTTGAAGAGTTTTAAGAATTTGTCTTTTAGACTAATTTTTTAATGGCCATATTTCAGGATCTGTAAATGGTAGAGTTAGAATTAACTGAGCTTTAAAAAAAACTAATTAAATATTTTATTAATATACGTTTTTGCGTAGACTAAAATCTTTAGGTAAATATGATATATTGGAATATTTTATTTGAATTACTTTCAAATAATAAGACCGAATGAGTTTTATATACTGACTGAGGATTATTATACTATAATTGTTCAAAAAAATGAATATAATGTATTCAAAATTATTATTTATTTTAAAAAAATATAATGGTATTTAAAGAAACTGAGTAAGATGGTATAAGAATCGCGGTGAATAATACTACTTATTGGATTGTCTAATTATATACCCCATTTAGAAACATAATTTTTATGTTAAAGTAATTATTTTTTATTAATGATTTATTTAATGATGCATATTGTTTTTGCCAAAAATGAATCCGCTAAATAATTTATTCCTAATCCATTCAGGTGCTTTTGGCTGAATTACGTGATACGACATATTATTATGCGGTGAAATGTCTTAAAAAAGACGTCGTCCTTGAAGATGATGATGTGGACTCGACACTAATAGAGCGTAAAGTTCTGGCCTTGGGTACGAAGCATCCGTATTTGTGTCACCTGTTTTGTACATTTCAAACTGAGGTAAGTGCAAAATACAAAATATTTCAAATATTTAATTATTGTAATTTCATATTTCGAAGTCCGTATTTGAAAAAAACGCTCATGCTTATCTGAAATCATAATGCAATTAATAGCAATTGCAAAATATGAAAATTTCGCAACAAATAATTTTAAACAAATTTAAAAATTTTAAAAATATCTCAGAAAATGCTTGCTAATTGCGGTCTTAGATGTTGAAATAACATTTTCTTTAGGATTCATAAGATTCAATTTGGTATCTATTTTGCGGAGTGATTTATTTATTTGTTCTCTAGCGACTGTTGGCTTTCAACTTTATTATATATTATATTATTTATTTGTTTTTATTTAAAGATAAATTAATGTATTTGTACTTAAATTTATATTGTATATAATTTTGTTTTTTTTTTATATATATATATTTGTTTTAAATATTTTCATTGCTAATTGTTACTCGTGGCGCAAGTGTAGTTAACTTTTAAATAGCTATAAAAGTACGATTTGTTTAATTATTTTAATTTAAAATTATTCATAGTTAAAAATAGACTACACTTTAAAGACAACGAGTATGAGTTTTACAATGTACAGAAATGGCAGACATAATAACATATTTCTTTTAGATTGTTTTTGTAAATAGAAAAAAAAATAATCAAAATTAATTTAAATAGTGAACTTCTAAATGGAATTATACATAGACGATGCCATCTAACTGCAGACTCTGAAAGTCCTATTTTCTATTCAAACAGTTTTTTGTAAAGTAACACAATAGCTAAGTTTGTAAAATCTATAACCCACTTCAGCCGTGATTCCGTATAAACATAATTATTTATGTCCCAGTTATTTAGTTAGTTGTGATAGAGGGAGGAACGCGTCCTCTTCAATTAGCTAAAAAAGCCGTTTTGAATCCACAAAACCTCGTAATAGGAGATAGTAGAGAGAAGGTCAAGTTACAACCAGCCAGAGGCATTTATAAAAGTAAGAATCTGGCCAATGCTAATGCTAGAGATATATTGATGTCCTATTATACAAAAAAAAAACACATACACAACAAATATACTATTGTCAATTTAGAATTTAAATAAAATTCTATAATTTATTTGTAAGTGCTGTACGAATTTCTTTGAATGAATAATAAATAATAAATAATTTCTTATACCAAATAATTCTATTGAAATTGATAAAATGCTGTGACGGCCTACCATCCACATTTTCAGAAACCATTTTTTTTAATGGTTCCCTACATATTTATTGTCTTTATTGGTTGAATCTATTATAGAAAGTATAATAATAAGACATTTAATATTTTTAGAAAGTCCTTATTCGATGAATATTTAATTTAATTCAACGATGATATATGGTACTATGTAGAATCAATTATTTCTTTAACACCTGTTAGACTATAAGAACTAACAATAAGTAAATACGCGCCTTTAAAACATTAACAAAATTAAATAAAAGATAAATTCAAAGGTAAAATTCTAAAATTAACGGAGACTCGTATGTACTAGTAATTCGACCACCGACTGTGAATGCTAACACGTAAAGTTCGATGGCCACTTTATAGATCAGGGCACAGAAATTTGTACTACATTTATACAGGAGGAACTATGTCTCTTAGTACAAATTGCTTATCAATGAGAACAGAATCGGTGACCACAAACGCGAAGACTGTTTCTGCTACTAAAAATCACTGCATTTTTTTTTTATTTTAAAATAACTTCCGAAAAACTATTTCTGTGGAAGGTGTTCAAAACAAAATTGGTTCATGATTACGCATTTGTATTGTTTTATCTACTATTCGTTAATTTAAGATAAAACTTATTGTTTTGTTTATATATTTTGCTCCTTGGTCTAGTTTTCTCATTGAAATTTTTAAAATTTAACCAAAAATTTTGTTAATAGGAATTTTTTATATTTTCATATCTATGAGAATTAATTATTGTTAATTAATTATGATATAGAAAACTGAAAACGTTATCACATGCATAAATTTATTTTAATACTACATAATTATTAATTAATTTATTTTAATTTATTGTAAGCTTTTAGCACTTGTCAGTCCGTATATATGTTTAATTACAAATTTTGTTTAGGTACTTATTTTTTTAAATCAAGACAAGATCAAAAATTTCATACATATTTAAACTGAACTGCTTTGGAAGATGTGTTGGAATTAATAAATCTGGTAATTTATATTCCAAATCTGATACACAAACTAATCAATCCAAACTGAGACTTACCTATTATTAATAAAATTATTTATATGCATTTCAGAAACGGTTGAAATATAAATTGTTGTTGAAAATCTTCTTTAAGTGTTAATATACTAATAATTTGAACTTATAACTTAATACTGAACAACCCTCCAATCCAGCAAAAAAAAAACAATTTTTATTGACGTGCGACTCCATTTTTCAAATAACTTTCCTTCCAGAGTGGTACACTTATTCCAAAGCTGCGTAAACTTTTCGGGGATTTTTTTGCAAAACAAATTTTCTTTGCCCTCAAATGTGAGCAAATGTATTACAACCTTCTAGGTAGGTTGGAATGGCAGCCTTGTTTCCAAAGAGTCCACTTGAACTCAAATAATGGCCCATTATACTACCTTCTATAGATCGGTAACAGTTTAGCTACGGGAACTACGGGAATAGCCTTAAACTTAGGCTTCTAAGTTTAACCTTCGAAGGTTAAACTTATTTTAACTTATAAAATTACTTTATCAATCTATAAAACTTTAATAAGTATCTTTTTATAGTGTTTTGGATTGGTAAATCTGGATTCGATCAAGATCTCAATCTGTCAAATTCTTCTAAATCTTCTAAATCTAAAAAGAAGAAAACTGGAATTTAATTTAAAATTAAAATAAGAAAAATGGAACAGAATGTAATTGCCTAAACTGCCCGGCTTAAGAGACCCTGAATTCGACTAAATGACAAACTCAAAATATTTGCTGAACGCAATTGATTTAAATCAAGTACGAGCGCGGTTTGATAAGTCAGTGACTTTTTGAATAAAATAAATTTTTTCGGCAAATAAACATTTTATTTTTCCACATAATCACCTTTTAGCTCGATACATTTAGTCCAGCGTTTTTCTAATATTCTTATTCCCTCCAAATAATAGGTTTTCTCAAAGGTCTCAAAATACGCGTTTGTTTCGGTAATGACTTCTTCATCCGACTCAAATCTCTTACCGCCCAGCCATATCTTTAGGTTTGGAAACAGAAAATAGTCACAGAGAGCTAAATCTAGAGAATATGCTGGATGGGGTAGCAGTTCGTATCCCAATTCGTGGATTTTGGCCATCGTGACTTAATCAGCACACGAAATTCACTTTTTTCCATTTTCGTAAAAATTCACGTGGTTGTCTACTTTGAACGGCTATCAAACACCAACTGAACGACGTAGCTTGCTCAAAATTAAAAAGTTGCCTACTGGTAGATTACAGCTGACGGCAGCACTGTTGCATTTGGAGTAACTGCGCGGAAAATTCAAAAAGTCACTAACTTATCAAAGCGCCCTCGTAATTCTACAACCAGTATTGATAAAATTTGAAAAAACCACAATTTATCATAGTTAAGTTCATTCATATAGCTGTGGTTTATGTGTTAGTTTTAAACAACTCAAATAATAGCACAGCAAGTGCAATTGTAATTTGCGAATAAACACCAAAAATTGAAAGAAATCGAAATCCGAATAATGTGAATTTAATATAAGTTGGCTTTGTATGTTAACACGCGAGACCACGACTGAAATTTGATAGTCCTGAACATAGTCTAAACTATGTTCAAACTCTACCGTTTTTTTTAATTGGTATAAATTATAAGTTTTAGTAAATTGGCTTGAATAAGATGAGAGAACCTATCTAATATGTTTTCAAATTTCAAATCTAAATGTTTTATTCTTTAATAATAAGCCAATCGATCAAGTAGTGAGATTAGGTATCAAATTATAGAAAAATTTAAATAGCTATATATTTAAGAATAAATTTCACCTTTCCGTCAGATACCAATTCATAAATTAGTAAATGCATTTTCCTGCAATAAATATATCTTTTTCTAAAATCATATATATCTTAATACATACAGAAGGCTTGACCTATAAAATAAATGTTTATAAGATATAAATTTTATAATGAATAATTTTATATAAAGTGTCATACTCGTTAAATAAATTTAGCGAAAAAATGTTTAGTCGTCAAGTGCCATTCTAAGCTGTAAATCATCTCATAGTTACATTTTTGTGTATTCAAAAATTAATATTTAACTATTAACAACAATTTTGAATATAAATTTATAAAAATTTTTAAATCTTTTAAGAGTCACTTATTTTTTGTGATGGAATATTTAAATGGCGGTGATCTCATGTTCCACATACAAGAAAGTGGTCGTTTTTCGGAAGAACGTGCAAGATTTTATGGTGCCGAGATTATTTCAGGTCTAAAGTTCTTACACAAGAAAGGTATCATATACAGGCAAGTATAAATTTATAAAAATATGTATATTAATTTAATTCTAATAAAACTTCTTTGTGTAATCCACAGAGATCTCAAATTAGACAATGTGCTGTTAGACTACGAAGGTCATGTACGTATTGCAGACTTTGGTATGTGTAAATTGCAAATATATCTGGACAAAACGGCGGACAGTTTTTGCGGTACACCAGATTACATGGCGCCTGAAATCATAAAGGTAGAAAAACTTTGCATCTATGAGAAATTTTCGCATATAAAAAATTGTAACTTCTTATAGGGCGAAAAGTATAATCAAAACGTTGATTGGTGGTCATTCGGTGTACTTTTATATGAAATGCTAATTGGACAATCTCCATTTAGTGGTTGTGATGAAGATGAGCTCTTCTGGTCTATTTGCAATGAAATTCCATGGTTTCCTGTATATATATCAGCTGAGGCAACTAGTATACTCAAAGGTGTAAGTTACTTCGCACTCCACCGACAGATAATCCATTCAATCAATTTTCTTTCTTTATTTAAAGCTTTTAGAAAAAGATTACACAAAACGTGTTGGCTCACAATATAGTCCTGCTGGTGATATAAGTGATCACATTTTCTTCAGACCAATTGAATGGGATCTCTTAGAAAAACGACAACTAGTACCTCCATTTAAACCTCAAGTGGTACGTATTTAAAAAAAACGAATTTTTAAATAAGTTGTTAAAACATTTGTTATATTATATTCAATGAAGGGCACAGTAGACCCGACGATCGCAGTGCCACATCCCCTAACAATATTCAATAGCTTGCTTTCAAACATATTTTTCTATGATTGTCACATAGAACTATAGTTTTCTATATGTATATACATCAAGTGCAGGTCTAGCCTGATCAAATGACTATCCTCAATCTTAGTTTCTAATGAAAACGCGTACATAGATGTTATTAATAGAAGTTGAAATATATTTTTCAAAATATAATTAGGTGGAGATTCTACCTGTCCACAAGGTATAAAAACCCCAATTTTAGACACCGTAATTGAAATAACAATTTTCATTTCCAATTAAGTAATATATCATCATTGCTTGAAAACTTTTGCTATATAACATTAATATTCACTTTGATATTGACTTGGTAAAGATTTTAATTATTTTACTTTTAAATGTCCATTTTTTGCCAGCAGTTAGACGCCCACCGTTTCTAATTACCATTATCATATATAAATTTAGTCAAATTCACATTTCCACTGTTCACAGTGTGACTCTAAGAAGTTAGTAAGAGTTTGAAAATCTTAAGCATCTTCTCTGAAGCATAGAGAAGTAGTCGAATATTAAATACCCCAGAAAATAAAATATATGTCACAACAGTTCTTCTAAATTTTTTTGAAGACCCCCTATACGCATTCCGAAATAACCTGAAGTGTGCAATGCAATCACGGAATATGCATCAATTACCGATCAACTTTATCAATAAAAAAATGTCCCAAAATTAGTTTGAAGAATAGGTTTTTAAACATTGATACTATTATTTATTTTTTATTTTATTATAATTTAAAATTTAATAAATAACAAATTAATTTTCTCTTCGGTCTTTCTTTAGAAACATCCATTAGACACTCAATACTTCGATCGTGTCTTCACAAAGGAACGCGTGCGTCTTACACCTATTGATAAGGAAATTCTGCAATCAATGGATCAGAAGCAATTCCATGGTTTTACATACACAAATCCACACATAACCCTAGACTAGAGTGAACAAAAAAAAAATTTTAATATTTCATCTTATTCTTTTCTAAATTTGATTTTAATTAATTGGTGGTTTTTATACTCTAAACGCAGAGGGTTTGAGTAAAATTTTGTATTATAAAAAAGAAAACTTTTTAATAAGGAAAGAAATATCTTTTTAAAATTTGTACATTTGAATTTTGTAAAGGAATTTATAATTCCTCACGATTTAGTTTTTAATTGGCAACTTGACAATCGGTGCAAGTATAAATTTGAAATGAATACATTTTTAGAAGAGTTGAAGGTCAGTTCGTCTGCGTTATATTTGTGATTCTACAAGATTAGACAATACTTTGACTCTTCTCTTTGTTACACATTATAATAACTTTTCAAAAACCAGTATTTATAGAATTACTTATTAAGAAATAAATTACTCCTACTCACTCATTAATGAGAACTACTTAAGTTTAAGTTAAAAGTTAAGCATACGTCTATACGTCTAGTCATATAAGAATCTGTACAAAAGGTGTGTCTCCATAAACATGTATTGTATATTCCCTCCAAATTTTTATTCATTGATGTTTCATTATATTTTATTATAAACAAATAGGAATCCTTTTTGTTAGGTTTGCTGTTTTATATAATAATATTTTAATAATATTTATTTAAATACTGTATGTATACTAATAATAAACAATAAAACATTTATATTAGCTAATTTAGAATATTTAAAATTATTATTATCTTTCTTAAATTTATTTCAAATCTCAATTGAACTCTCAGATTTATTAATTATAAATAATTTGAGTTTATTAAATTTTCGCTATAGTTTCCATCTTAATTAATGTTGTAAGTCGGTCAAATCCAATTTATATTGCAATGTTTTTTCCGTTAAATTGTTTAAAATAAAAAAGTAATATTTGTTGATTGAACCATATTAAATCATTTTAAAATAAAAAAACAAATAAAAATAATGACATTAATAAAACAAAATTTATATTCTTATTATTTTTTCTATATATAACAAGAAATTTACAAGCATTAAAAGTGCTACCCAAACCATCTTGAAAACCACCACTATATTCTAATATACACCAATTTTTTCAAAACTATCTCAAGAACCCCTGAGATTGAACCAGTCAGATTTCAAGAATTAAGCCTGTAACTGTAAGTTACAGTTAAACCTGTAAGTTCTGTAACTTTTCAAAATTATAGAACTGTTGAAATGCGTGTAGAATTAAGTATAAAAAAATACATCAAATAAGCTTGTAGATATCTATATAGTATATTAATGTGCTTCAAAAGTTCCACCTGCTAACGAAGCAAAATACCTTGATATATCACACGTACACAATTACACTAGCTTAAAGTTGCTATTGATTGCGTACTTTAAGAAAAAAAGAAAGAACTTGACTTAGGATTAAACAGGGTAAGTTACCTTATGGGCTGAAAGTTCGAACTTTCAACTAAAAACAGTAGATGGCCGTACTTTATGAACGTTATCAAAACGATGTATTGCAAAAAGTGGTTAAAGATTCTTTCTTAGTAAAAATTTGTTATTTCTATCAAAACCTTGATATACTATTTGTTATCAACGTGAAACAAAAATACACTAAAGCTCTTAAAGATCGTATAATACGTAACACATGAACTTGTAATAATAATAAAAATCATCATACCAAACTTCTTCTTCTTATTTGGCCTCCTTCTTTTTTAAAGAAAGTTTCGTTTTTTTCCGATGCGAGACTGCTAACCTTGCGATCAACTCCCAACCTGCAGAACCAGATCCCCTGCAAATCTGGAGATAAAATTGGTGTTTAGTAACTAGGGAGTTTCCTCTCTGCTACGTGTTGTCAGGTTATACCGTCTGTGCTCGGTCGCCAGAGCCTTGTATGCGAGAACAGAATGCACCATGTGTGGGTGAGGTACCAAGAGGCACACTTCTGCCCCTTGTATCCCATCGAACCAAACTGTCTGACCAAAAATTATTTGGAAGTTTTTAATTGTTCAGCGTATATTGGAAAAATTGGCGGCTTCCATATCAGTTATTAGCGCCATCAGGTTATAATTTTTTTACACTAGATGTTTAAAAGAATCATGAATTTAGAATGTAGATCATTTTTTAAAACATTTTTATATATGCGACAGCTAAACAAATCAATAATCTTTGGAATAATGATTTGAAGACAAGATCCGAATTACAAAGCAAAGGCTATATCAAAACACCACATTCTTTCTTGAGCAGGGGTTAAAATTCGAAACTTAAATGTCATTCTAATATTCTATATTGCAATTGTAAAAACAATTGATTTTCAAATATTTATCTGATATTGTTCTTAGTACTGGCATTCCATTTTACAATATACAAACATTATACCTATTACTATTACTACAACAAGTATCACTATTCTATCTGTTTTTCATATGGGTAAAAAATGTATAAATACTGGATATGGCCAAAGAGCAATAAATCAATGGACTTCCGTTTTACAAATTTGCATGAACCAAATTCTGAATGAACACTAATCAGATCTTGTATCTGAGTAAGTGATAAGTTAGTACATTCAATTCAAGTTTCTCATTTGATAAGAATTACATATGTGTGATGTTCGACTGGTTAAAATTCATAAGTTCCCATCAAATTAATTACACAATAAAAAGTTAATAGAGTATTAATTTATCCGGCAGCGAAATAAATAATCAATTAATAAAAAAAAACCCATCGTATTTGCCTTAAGCCAAACGAACCAAGCACCAACATAAATCAAGTTTTGAATGGTCAGTTGGAGAAAGACGAGCGAGTGGGAAAAAATGTAAACAGTTACGTTAGATTTTGCTCCACTAAAAAGCCCAGCCGGCTAAGAGCATACACTTAATGAAGTTATTTTTACTTTTTAACAAATGAACTGGAAGCAGCAAACTTACTGAAAAAACCTAATTAGAAAACCTAGCCTGGCCTTTGTAATCCAGTGTAAATTATTTGCTCGAGATGACAGAAAAGTGTCTTGTGCTGAGCAGATATGCGCAGGCGCCAAGTAGTAAATATATTTATTTACTATTCATCATTGAGCAATTATTTGGAGTTGGAGTGTTGGAGCAGCCTACTTATCAACGTCAGCAGCATTTTTCCTATTGTTTTCGTATAAAAGTGCAAGTTTATCGTGCAATTTTTATCAGTTTGAATTTGGAAGCACAACTTACTTTTATTGTTTTTAATTTGGATCAGATACAAAATTTGGAGGATGAAGGTAAGATTGACATTTGAAAACCCATTACAACATTCCCTTCGACATAATGATTAATATTTTTTATAAAAAAAACTGGCAGCTGTACTTATGTGTTTTGGTATCGTTGGTCACCACTTGTTCCGCTGGATTTATTGGCTTGGGAGGCAGCTCAGGAGTTGCCAGCCATAGCGCTGGCTATGGTGGCGAAAGTTCGCATTATTCGCATGGTAGTGGTCAATATTCTGGAAGTGGCGGGCATATTTCTGCAGGAAGTGGACATACTCAGAGCGATGCTGCTATAAAAACAATAAAAATTATACATGAGAGTGCAGGAAACTCAGATCACGCTGGTTATTCCAATTTTGGTAATACGCCTCAAAGCAATTATGGAGTGAATGACCACAGTGGAGGTACAGAGATTAAGACTATTAAGGTAATACATCAACAAAGCAGTGGTGGTCATGGTAATTATGGTGGTGATTATGGTGGATCAAGCTTTGCTGAAACTCATAGCCATGCAAGTCACACTGGTGGAAGTGGCGATGTAAAAACTATTAAAGTTATACACGAACAAGCAGCTGATGGTCACAGTGCAAATTATGCTAGTGCAGCAAATGCAGGTTACAGTCACGGCAGTAGTGCTTCTTCATATAATGCACATAGTGGTAATGCCGAAGTCAAAACAATTAAAGTAATACACCAACAAGCCTCTGGCGGCTTTAGTCATAGCCATAGTCATGGCGGACATGATGGACATAGTAATGGTGGTGCAGCTGAAGTTAAGACTATTAAAGTAATACATGAGCATGGGAGCAGTTCCACTACTGGTGGATATGCCAATGGAGACGGTAATGCAGGTTACAATTATGGAACAAGTACTAATTACGGAAGTCAAAATAATGTTGGCGGTGCGGAAATTAAAACAATCAAAGTCATTCATGAACAAAGTGCTAGAGCTAGTTCTGCTGCTGAAGGAGGTTATTCTTCCGGATATGTTGGTGGTAGTACTGGCACAGGTTTTGCAGTCAATAGTGGCTACAGTAGTGGTAACGTTCACCCCGCTAATGCTGAAGTAAAAACCATCAAAGTGATACACGAACAAAGTGGCCACGGAAGTTTTGGTGGTTATGGAGGTGGTGCCAGCACATTAAATAATTATGGTGGTTCAACCAATAGTGGTACAGAAACAGTCAAAACTATTAAAGTCATACACGAACATAGTTCTGGTTCAGCTGGATATGGTAACAGTGGCCATTCAAATGCTGCCAGTTATGCCAATAGTGGCGCTTACGCGTCCGCTGGTG